ATGTGTGCATCTAAATTAAAGTAAAATATTTAAACATTTTTTTAACAAAATACAAATTTACTTTTGTATTTAAGTTAAATTACCTATTAAATTCCTTCAAGCTTGGTTTATTGAGGTGGTTAAGTATAAATGCTGTAGACTAGGAATTAGCTGTATAGTTAGGTTATGCCTGTGTGAAGAAGGGGTTCAAATGCTGTCCCAGGCAGCTTTCCTGAGGGATTGGAGCGCCTTCTGGACGTATTATATAAATGTAATTCTTATTTTATAAATAATGTGATGTAACTGTAATCAGTCCCCTGCCCTTTGTGACTGAGGTTGAATGTCTTGTGGCAGGGGATGCTCCCACCCCAAGGAGAGGTAGGAACCTGTGTGAGATTGGCTGTGTGCCAGGCTGAGGAAGGATCCTGGACCTCAAGTCTCAAATACCTGTTAAGATTGGAGGAGTGGGGGTGGGGCACAGGTCTGGAGATGAAGTTTCTGCCTATGCCCAAATGTAAGGTGGATCCTCTCAGTTTTAGTCTGAGCTAGTTCACCTCCGCTCCATAGACAGGCCACACAGTCCAGGAATGCCTTGAAGCAGGGAGGGCCTGGCACAGCCTGGGCATGCGTGTGTACATGCCCTGGACAGAACAGGAGGCTGGGACATTCTGTTACAAATAAGGACTTAATTCCTGTTGAGTCTAGTTGGACTTTTTAGTATGAATGTGAGGTTTTTCTCCTTATGTCATTAAGAATAAAAAAACTGTGACCTAAAAAAAAGAAGTGATACAATGGAGAAACCAGACATATTTCACTTTCATTGAGTGATGCCAGTAAGCATGACTAGTCGTGGCACAACTTAAAATCCTGTGTCCTCTGAGAGAATGTGAAGAGAAACATGCCTCGCTTCTGTGATTCCCTACCAAATAAGAATGTCCAAACTCTAATCTTAAGAAAACAGCAGAGAAACTCAAACTGAAGGTTACTTAACTTAAAAAAATGGTTCATAATCTTTTAAATTATGAAAGTCTAGGAAAGACTCAAGAGCTGGTGTAGACTGAAAGAAGCCCCAGGAGTGTGATAACTCATTGCAATGCATGATTCTCAACTGGACCTTCTTTTTGAAATAAAGAACATCATTAGGACAGCTCATAAACCATAAGGAGGCCTAAGGTTTTGATGGTAGTTATGTGTCCCTGCTAATTTCCTGAATCTGATGGTGGTACTGTGACTGTGTGGCAGAATGACCTTCTTGTGGTACAATGGGCACTAGAGTATTCAGGATGAGGGGGCATCGTGTTAACAACTTATTCTCACTTGGTTCAGAAAAAAATTTTTGTGTCAGCATTGCCAATTTTGTCTAAGTTTGTGATTACTTGAGGAAAATATTTAAGCATATATTTTTTTAAATCAGGACAAATATGTCCAGCAGCGAAAACAAAACACCTGAGAGCAGGGGCCCCTGGAAATGTCAGGGTGTCTAGCTGCTCTCTCCTCAGTGGTAGGAAAGCCCCACCTGGGCAGTTCTTTTGGCCCTTCCAAGAGCAGCTGGGCCTTTCCACTACTTCTGCTTTTCTCCATCATGAAGCGTTGGTCCAGATGATTCATATTTGTCATTAGCAGTGGTTTCTCTAGGCTTGAAAATTTATCCTATGCTTAAGAGAATTTAAAACACAAAAGGCCAGGCACCTGTTCACTGAGTTTCCTTGCCAGGGAAATACACTGAGACATTGTCACCAGCTGACATCTGTGAACTGTGTGTCCAGTGGCTCCTTATTCAAAGCCAACATTTCTGAAGGACAACAACAGATGGTTGGAGCCAGGACACCAAAGAAAAGCAGTTCTCTTTCTCTTTCCCTTCATATTTATTAAGAATCGCTGAACGATTGCGTCTCCCCAAAATTCATACAGTGAAACCCAAGTCCCCAGGTTCATGTTGTTAGGAGGTGGAGTCTTTGAGAAGGGTTAGATCATGAAGGTGAGGGTTTCATGAATGGGATTAGTGTCTTTAGACACTAATTGGAGCTCTCACTCCTTTCCATGAGATAACACAGCAAGGAGTCAGCTGTGTGTGATCCAGGAAGTCAGCCCTCACCAGTTGCTGAATTTGCTAGCACCTTCTCTAAGACAATGATTAGGAGGCAGACCTTGTGCTCACATCAAGGGATAGAGCACTGAATAAAAGCACAATCCCTCTCCTTTAAAAAGGTGCTTTTAAAAGAAAACTGTACTTTTTAATGGAACTATAATACACACACACACATACACACACGCACAAAGATCATAATCACACTGCCCAGTAAATTTTCATAGACCAAACACACCTGTGTAACCAGGACTCAAATAGGGGAGGGGAGGGGAGAGGTGGGGAGGGGGGAGGGTGGATGATGGGAAAGGCAGCGGAGCACAACAGACACTAGTATGGCAATTTGTAAATCAATGGATGTGTAACTGATGTGAATCTGCAATCTGTGTATGGGGTGAAGGTGGGAGTTCATAACCCGCTAGAATCAAAGTGTGGAATATGATATGTCAAGAAATTTGTAATGTTTTGAACAACCCACAATAAAAAATTAAAAAAAAAAAAAAAAAAAAAAAAAAAAAAAAAAAAAGTTTGGACTCTGAATTGAGAAAAAAAAATTTATAAAATAAGAGAAAAGCTGGTGAAGCTTTCAGATATTTTGATTAAAGAATAATAAATTCTTTAAGATAGGATATAAATAATATTTAATAAATTTCATCTGATGAATTGCACATGGTTTGATTATGTTCTCACTTAAGAATTCAAACAGTAGTATAATGTTCCCATTAAACCATAAGTTAGGAGTATAAGAAGGTCCCTGGTTTTGAGAAATGATACCTCTGGCATAAATATCTGGGAGATAGTCACATTTGGACAAAACCTTCAGATCAAACCAACCAGTTAAGATGCAGAATTTAAGAGTTGTGATAAATGAGTATGTTAACTGGCATATATTTCACTGCAAGGAACAGAAATTTTGATTAATGTAGTGATATAACAAAATTGATAATAAGGCATTTATCATTTGTTCAACAAAATTTCAGAGGTAAACGATCCCAAGACAAATGACATTCCTCACCTTCTTCAAGGACCTGGGGTGTGCCAGCTTCCACATTGCTTGCCTAGGCTCTGTTTCTTGGTCCAGTTGGTCAAAGCTATTGAACATGACCATCCTTCTACTTGCAGAGAAAAGCTGGGAAAACAAATGTCTGCCTTTTTTTTTAGTCTTTCTAGAAGCAGGCATAAAAGGGAAGAGAGAGTCAGGAAAGGTTCCTCCATAGCCAGCTGACAGTATGTGATACTGAGTAAAAACCTTTACCACATAAATAAGAGGCATGTGTCTACACAACACAAATACATGTGTATATGCTCATATGTGTATCTCATATGTAAACACAGGTGTAGTGTTCGGATATATGAAAAATTTCTACACATTAAAAAGAAAAAAAATCAGGTAACCCAATAAAAAAAGGCCAACTGTATAAGCAGGTAGTCACTGTGAGTATAAAATGCAAATGGAAAAACTTATTAAAACATATGTAATCAGTAGAATTCTGGGAAGTGAAAATTAAAACAGGAATAAGATATTTTTTTACCAATTAGGTTGGTAAAAATGTAAAGTTTGTTACTCTCCAGTGTTGGTTAAAATTTAAGGAAACAGGGAAAAAAAAAAAAAAAAAAAAAAAAAAAAAAACAGTACCTCACTAGCGCCCAGAAGCCTCCTTGTTCTTTTCAACTCCAGCCAAGGTCAACCATTCTCCTGACTTTTAACAAAGCTCAATTTTGCTGAAAGTGGTTCATTTTTAAAGGCAATTTAATGGAAGAAAGCTAAGTACTGGTTCTTCCAGAATGATGGCTGTTCCTCCTGAGTAACCGGAATCACACAGTGCTAATGTGATCTCCCTGAGTGTGACCGAGTCTGCTCCTTTGTAGTACTGAGTTGCTGATTAATGGGTGGCAGTTTGAGCTTTGCCTGGTATGGACCTGGTCAGTAATGCTGTATGAAAGCATCTGAGCAGGGGTGCTGAATACAGAAGCCGGCAGGTAGTTCCCACTGAAATCCAACCTCACTCCTTTTGTCAAAATAGATAGATGCAACATGGCGGGATTATGTATGTTCCTTTCCTGCCAGGGCCTAGTGGCAGCCCTGAGTGTGAGAGTTATTTTGAGTTGGGAAAATGAGTGGAGTGCTGGTATTGTGAGTTTTATCCATGGATCCAATGATAATTCATGGATTTTCATGTTTTTTTTTTTTTTAGGAGTCCCCAATGGAGCCCAGTCCCTGGATCTTTCATTCGAGGCCTTCAGGGATGCCTCTCCAATTTCCTATAGTGCTGCTGCTCTCATGGGGTTGCTTACTTGTGTCAGTAGATTCCAATTGTTTCCCAGAGACTCTCAAATGAAAGTATCCTTTTATCTAACATAAAGGTGGAGGGAAAAAAAAACAACAGGTATATATTTTCATCTAGGCCAGCTAATGTATTCCTCATGATTTTAAAAATTTGTGAGCCATTGGAGAGCTGCCAAACCCAGAATTATGGAGTCCCTCTCACTCTGGGGGTTGCCCAGGGGGTGAAGTCCATTCCCTCACCAATTCCTTCCTCACATCCTCCTCACATTCCTCTCATTTTGACCTGATCATCATTTCTCTTGTCTTCTTCCTTCCTTCCTTCCTTCCTTTCTATTCTCCCTTACTCAATTATTGTTTTAAGGCCTCCACTTGAGTCTCATTGGCAGTCATATGAGGAATAGAAAGAAAAGAAGAAGACATATCCTCAGAAGAGGAGGACGCATGCGTGATAATATATGCCACATGCCTTTTATCAATGAAAACAAGAGACATGCTACACAGGAAGCTTTCTTCATAGAGTTCTCCTTTGGGAGAGAGTTTTTAAGGAAGTTGGCAGGAGGGATGACTAAGGGTTACCTCGGTGGGGTAGAATAAGATTGTTTCAGTCAGCTTTTCAACACTGTGACCAATATAACCAATAAGAACAGCTTAGAGGAGGAAAGGTTTATTTTGGATTATGATTTCAGAGGTTCAGTCCATGGTTGGCCAAGGCCATGGCTCTGGGCACAAAGTGAGGCAGAACATCATGGCAGAAGAAAGCAGCTCAGGACATGACATCCAGAAGTAGAGATACCTGCTCACTGGGGACAAAATAAAACCCCCAAAGTAAACCCCCAGTGACTTATTCCCTCCAACCACATCCTACCTACCTACATGTACCACCCAATTAATCCATTCAAGTGGATGAATTCACTGATTAGGTTATATCTCTCTTAATAGAATCATTTCACCTCTGAACATTCTTGCATTGTCTTACACAAGAGCTTTGCGAGGACACCTCATATCCAAACCATGGCAAAGGTAAACATAAAATAAACCTCTAGAATGTTAAATCGGAGTTTCCAGAGCTCAGAGGATTCTGATGGATCATCTGACCCAACACTCTCATTTCACAGATTAGAAAATATGTCCGGAGATGCTATTTGATTGTCCGCAGGAGCCCACACCCTCAGTCTTCTAATACTGTGCTCTTTCCTTCATGATTGTTCTTGTAAATTGGAATAGCACACATACCAACTTCATCTTAGGTGTCCTGCTTGAGTGGCAAGCCCAAGCAAGTTGAGAAATTAAGAATCACAGTATTATTTATAAGAGTATCCATCAGAACTTATTCCAGCCTTCAGAAAGCACAAAGGAAACCTCTTCTCTACTACCTTAAATTAAGGGCGGCACATTTAGGGAGGTTTCCCTAACTTACTTGTTTCTGGGGAATCCAATCTTTTCTTCTTCTTGTGGTTTGTTTGATATTCATTATCCTCTTTCATCCCCAATGATCCCTTTCTCTCCCTCCCCCTCCTCCACCCTCTCATGCCACCCTAGTCCCATGTCAAATCCCAAGAATCTTAAAGGGAAATATCACAGTCACCAAGAACTTATCATTGTCACCAAGATTGATCCCATATGGTGTCTACAAAGATGAAGGGTGAGGCCACAGCTTTTGCATTCTCCACAGGGATGATGTGGGAACATGACTCCTTTTTGCTCTTCATTTCCCATCTCTGAGATGAATTCAGTCTGCTAGACCCAAGAATTTCTCCTCCTCTGGCTTCGATAGAACTTCCAGCCGTACTTTTTCCATTTCTTCAACTGCATTTCAAGAGCAGCAAAATTCAGAAGTTTGAAAGGCTTAAAAAACATTTCATCTGATCCTGTGCCTATGGGATTCATGCTCTGATTTACCTTTGAGTCCTTGCCTAGTCTTACTAATTCAATTGTCCCTTTTGTGTCAATAAATTATATTTGGATTTTTTTTTCCTTTAGTTTGTTTCATTTCCAGAGTGGAAGAAATCTCATCTTGGGCTCTAATAACAGTACCATCACTAATCTAATATTTGTTTCCAAAATGTCTGAAGAGGTGTCTCACTTAGCTCTTACCCTGCAAGCTGGCCTCTTGGAATGTCAATGAAGATTTAGAGGAGCTTCTGCCATTGGCCATGCATCAGTCTAGAGTCTGAATGTTTGCTCCCCAAATGATATGTTGCAACAGAGGTAGGGAGATCCAAAAGGTTACCCTTATATGCTGGAGATGCTGGGCGAGGTTGGCATCCAGTCATCCCCTCCCACATGATCTTGGTGCCATCAGTTCCTGAAGCATCTTATCCTCAGCTACGAAAGGGCAATTATTGAAGTAATATTTTGAGATTGTTTCTTTTAAGGAAAGAAAGGTCTTACTGTTTGGCTTCTTCCCATGATCTTCATTGTTTGGCAGATTGTGTGTAGAGAAGCCAGGAAATTCCCACTGCAAAAGAGAAGATTTGTCCGGCTGTCCTAATTGCTTACCCAGTTACCGGAGTGTACTGCTCATGCCAATGGCCACATTACAGAAGAGCCTGTTAGAAATGGACATGAAAAGAGAAGGGAAAAAGAAACATAAAAGCAATTCTGCTCTAGTAAATGGCTTCATAGCATTCAAAGAGGGGAAAAGCAAACAACTCAAAATACAACCTTACAATGTGCTCAGCAAGAAGTAAACTGCTCACTGGGGGCCTTGGGAACTTTGTTCTGATGCAAAGTTCAGTTATATACTCAGCTAATGAATTACTGGAGCCCAGGCCATCCTGAAGGAGAATAAACACTCTCATAGAGAGCAGCTCCGAAAGAAAGATTTATCATGTATCTGATGGATTTGCCACATGTCAAGAAAGATGTACTTTAATTTCAAGAATTCTTTTCCTCCCGGCCACCCCACACAAAATGTGTAATTGTGGGGATGGGAAAACGTCTGTAACAATTTTAACATATGTAAGATTGCCCAAGAGGTGTATCATGTTTACATGGTTTCAGAATTTCATTAATCCACCTTCTAGGAATGTGATATTTTACAGATTGTACTTGTGTACAATACAAAGACAGACAGCTAATTTTTAACAGACACTGAAGAGCAGTCTCTTTTTTTCAAAATGCTCCTCACATTTCTTTAGTTGCTCACAGAAAAGTAACTTCTTAGATGCTCAGCACCTGGATTTGTATCCACATCTCCTTCAAAAAAATAAGATCTGCTTAAATACAGTTTATAAGAGACAAGATTTGGGGGCAAAGATTATATTAATTGGTTGAGCAGAAGTGGCCCCTGTTCAGTGTCTCCTTGTTAGATTTGCTGTAAAAACTTCAATTTTAAAGATATAAAAATATCCATCACTGAGTTGATGTGTCTCAGCAGGATACATCAGACAAATTCCTGCAATACATTTCCAGGATGGCCATTTACAGCTGCCCCCTTAACCTGAATATTAAATCAGAATGCCATTGTTTTAGCCAAAAACATCTGTTATCCATGAGGCCCTGTGCTTTTGAGCTAAGGTTCTATGATTAACCCTGCAGAGTTTTTTTCTCTCCTGGAACTTGATCTCCTATTGAACTGGTGCACATCACTTGCTCCAACCTGACTGACTGACCCTCTGCCAACAGAACATGCATAGATCTGAATGTAAACTGGAAATGTTTCCCCACAACTCAGGGCTAAGTGCAATCATTGTCAGGAATTTAGAATTACAGAAAAGGAGTTTAGCTGACCACCTTGTCACTAGGTAGAATCATGTTCTGATAACTCCCCAATAGTTTTACAATAATTCTTTTTTAAAAAAAAAAAAATTGAATAGGTAATTATTAAGTGCTTCCAATTCCGGGGGGGGGGGGGTTGGGGGAAGCATCAAACACATCTTAGCTAAAGGAGCTAAATATTTGATGGAAAACAATCTATAAAAAATAATTACAGGGCTGGGGATGTAGCTCAGTGATAGATTACTCGCCTAGCATACACAAGACCCTGGGTTCAATCTTCATCACTAAAAAAAAAATATATTGACTATTACATGATTCTGCTCCACTTTCCTAAGTTCCCTTACCATGATCATACTGTTTCCCTTGTCTCATGCCACTCCAGGCATGTAGCCTCAGCAATTGCTAGCCCCTGATCATCCCCAAGAAGTCTAAATGGCCGGCGCCATCATCTCCCTCAAACCTCTGCTCAATCTCACCTTCTGCATGCCTCTCAGCTGACCACTCTATTAAACATTGCAACCTGTCCTCCAGCCCCATGCTCTCCTTTGCACTTGACTTTGTCTTGTCCACTAACATTCATGACCTTCTAACATACTATGTACTTTATGTGTTAAACACATGGTGCTTCTTTTATAATATCCCACTAGAATGTCAACTTCAAAGGGCACGGATCTCTGTTTGGGTCACTGGTATATTCTGAGTGCACAGAATAGTTCTGGGTCTATTATAGGTGTTCCATATATATTTGTTGAATGTGTAAGCAAATGACCCCAGGAAACAGAAAGTCATATGAAGATAATCATAGAGGAGAAAAGAGTATCTCTTAGGAGCTCTCTTCCAACAGAAAGCAGAAGCCCTTCCCTGCAGGGAAAAGACAGAGGGATCAAGGTAAAGATGTTAGACTGGAGGGCCCTGGCTATCCATCAGGATATTTAACTTATAATCCTAAAAGCACTGAAACCTCCGGGAAGAAGAGAACAAGGGGAGGTGGAAACCCCCAGAAGGGCTAGTGGAGAGATCCCAGGATAATTCCTAGAGTCAGCTCAGGGAAATGACCTTCTCCATGCACATATTTCTTAGGCTCCCCATGTCTAAAGAAGGAAAAAGGGAAGGAGCAAGAAATACTGAGAAATAATGCAAATACTCCCCCCAAAACTGAAGTAGATCAAAAGGGGATATTTTAAACTCATTTAAATGAATGAATGACTTTTATTGATTGATAATTTTAAGGATTTTTCTCACTATCAGCAGGAATATGATCTATCATAAAAATAAACAAATTTAATTTCTGGCACATCTGAAGTGTAAGGTGTAAACTCAGCCCTGCTGCATCTGGTTATATCTGTCTTTACGGTCAGACTTTAAGGCTCATGAGGGAAGGCCCACATCTATTCTGCACATTGCCATACTCCTAGTGTCTAGCAGGATACCTACAATGTAGTGAATAGATCAGTAAATTCATTCCAAATGGGCTCTGGACTCCCTGCCTAAGTTCCAATCCTTGCTCTGCCAGGAACAGTAAGAACAGTGGAATCAGCAAGACCATGTCCTCACCCTGTGGTGACAGGATCATTTACTAAAATACTGGCTTGTATTTTGTTGTCATCATATTTTTCTGTACCCGCCTTCAAAGCCACCCATCTTGAAAGGACCACGATGATCTGGATCATGAAAATATTAGTAGCAATGACAGGCTGAATATTAGGAATACATTTTCCATTTTCTGAGCACCACAGAAAACTCTTGAAAAGAGTCTCTGAGAAAGTATGTGCAGTTCCACTTGACTAAAAAACTTCTTGCTGACCCAACACACTGAGAAGGAAGTGCTGCTTCTGAACTAGATTTAATTTGATGTAAGTAAAATAAAGACATATGACCTCCTTGTATATCAATATTTGTGGAAAGGACACATATCATACTCTATTATTTAATTTTTAATCCTAAAAGCACATTGACCCGAAAGTTCTTCCAAGGACCCTGCCTGTGAATGACTGCAAATTTCTGTTGGAAGTTGGATAAAGAGGGCACTGGATTCAACTTAACCTCTTTCTAAAGCCAACACTGTAACATATTCCTGGGAGAAGTCTAAACAGAACCCATCTGCCTAGATGTGAGGAGTACCCAAGGTTAGTGTCTAGAAGTTTGATGAACTACAAGATGAACTCCTAGACAAAACTCTCCTGTTGGTAAGCTCAATACTTCCCAAATAGGTCTGCTGCCCAGAGAGTTTGGAAAGGCACTGTCCAATGTTGACTGCTTTTTTTCCATTTATTTATTTTTCAAACTTAAGCCTGAATCCTATAATCATGTCCCTACAAATTTAAGTTTTGGAATGCAAATGAAAATTATGTTAAATTTTTTTGAGGGGGCCACTATCTGTATAAATAGGAATTTTCCTTCTTCCAGAGGTTCAAAGGGACATGAAGAATTTTTTTAATTATGTAAGTGCTTTAAACTTGGCCTGAGACCAAACTTGGAAAACACATTTCTTTCCCTCAGATTAATTATTACTGCATACAGTCTGATCAGTCTTTTAAAAGATATTTTCATTAAAAAAAAACTCTTGTTACTACTATGTTTTTCTTTACACTTTCCTTACCATATGTGTATTTTCATATGAAATGCCAACACATTTGAGAATGAGCCCTTCACTGTATAAGTGCAGTGAAAGTCATAATTTCCCTTTTTCTTTCTTTCTTTTGTTATCCTTCATTGATAATGCCCTCACATCCAAATAATAGGATGCCAAGTTTTAGGATATTGGATAAAGCCACAACTCAAAGGTACATATGTAGTAGAACATTGGGAACAGGCTGTCCCCTCCTCTAAATAAATCCATTTGCTTTCTCTCATATCCATGGGAACTTTTGTTTCAAACATCTCTTGGAATGGGAATGTGGGAAGGGGTAATCAGAAGACCACTCCAAAGATCCCAGCTCTCACAATAAGAAGTAGATAATGAAGTGGGTTATTCAACATCTGCTTCCCATCCAGCCTCAGGGACTGAATTTGATTCTCTGTGGTGAGAGGAGGCCAGAAAGCGATGGGACAACTCAGAAACAGTCTTGCAGGACTATGGATATAAACATGGATGTTTGGGGGCTCTAGTGGTAGAGGCGGGACTTGGGACCTCTTGGAGTCCAAGAGGATTGGAAAGTGGAAGATTTGGAGTCAACCCCTTAGCAAGAAATTTGTCACCTCATAATTAACAGAGAACATAAAGCTTCTTCAAATGATGTTTTGGGCATAAAAGAAGCATCCCTCTGGAAATTCAAAAGAGTAACCAGTTATGGAGGAATTAGAATAGAATCTACTAAGCTAGCAGTCACTTGTATTATACACATCATACACATACATGTGTATATAATAAACAAGATTTTATGCAGCAAACTTAAAAGGATGTGTAGCAGAAATAATAAGAAGTTATCTTGATGGCAGGGAAAGCATTAATAATCCCATTTCAAGGAAAGACTGAAATCACAGGTTTTTCCAGCACACAGCAGATGCAAAACAAGATTTTGAATCCACTTAATATCTCCTATCACTTTGTTTCCCATTTGGTGCATTATGCCACACTTTCTCTTCTGTTGGAAACATTTTCCTCCAAATACCTAGAATGGGCTTCCTCATTAGACCCTCCAAAAGAGGATTTCTGTGGGTCCTATGAAAAATAAATGAACAAAAGAACGTGAAAAAGGCACATCTATTGCAATGTTTGTTAAAGCAACAAAAATGAGTAAAACTGAAGGGTTGGGGTTGTTGCTCAGTGGTAGAGCGCTTGCCTCTAAACGAGTAAAACTGAATATTCATGAATATAGGAATAGTTTAATATATGGGAGTATACAATAAAATCTTCAGAAACCAAACTGGAAGAAAAATCCATGATACATTACACAATTAAATATTCGTGTTGCAGAGTAACATATGTAGTATTAGTAAAATGAAAGATAGTAACCAAAACTCCTCATAGGGCACCAGATA